TTTAGCCCTTTAACTATTGCAGTGCTCTTTGAATTTGTCTAATTTCCTTCTAGCTCTATAGAATACTTTTTAAAGTGAACATGTTTTGAAGAGAGGACTTGGCTGAGTTTCAGCCTCTTACAGTCTAACTGAATCAGGCACCTGTTGTATGACACAAAATTTCTGGTTTATAGCAGTTGGCAAACTGCAGGAATTGCTGTTCTGCTGCTGAGAAGCCTCTTGGGAAGCAAAGGAATGCTCCTTCACTATTGTCACTGGGATGTGTCACACTCAGACCATGGGGACATTTCATCACACACAAGTGTCACACATGGGGCTTTAAATGCCTAAAGCCAGCAGAAGCCTCATGTCTTAAAGTTGGTCTCTTTTTCTTCTGTATTACCTGTTGCTTTAATTTTCCAAAACTGTTGGAGCAAGTCCAGAGGAGGCCATGAAGCTGATCAGAGGACTGGAGCACCTTCCCTATGCAGACAGGCTGAGGGAGTTGGGGCTGTTCAGCCTGGAGAAGACAAGTTTCTGTGGAGACCTCAGAGCAACCTGCCAGGATCTGAAGGAGCTCCAGGGAAGCTGCAGAGGGACTCTTGGTTGGGAACTGCAGTGACAGGACAAGGAGTAATGGGGAGAAATTGAAAGAGGAAAATATAGATGAGATATCAGGAAGAAGTTTTCCCTGTGAGGGTGGTGAGACACTGGCACAGGTTGAGGCTGTGGATGCCCCAACCCTGGCAGTGTTCAAAGGGGTTTGGGACTGGATGATCTCTAAGCTCCATTCCAACCTCTTAACATACTTTGACAGATAATGTCTGTCCTGGTCATCCTTGGCCTCCTAACTTCTTGAAGGGCATGTAAAAGTAAACAGGCAAGGAAAATCTTCCTGGAAACCTTCCTGTGTTGCAGCTAAGGAACTGCTGTTTCTGTACCAGTGGATAGAGAACAGCTGAGTTCAGTGATTTCCTCCTGTGTGGAGTTTAAAATATGAAAAGCTTCCCTACTATGCCTTAAAGAGTCAGGGATCTGGGCTTTTAATCCAAACATGTCTGCAACAGAAAGTGAAGTCAGAAACTTCAATTCATTGGTAAGCTGATATTCTCAGAGCAGGGGGAATGTTACAAGTAAAAACAGAGGTGCCCTGCAGGTGAATTACTTTGAGGCTGAGGACCTGGAGATGTCAGCTGGCAGGACACCAGACAGGTGTTTGTCAGCAATCCCCCTGGCCTGAGCTGAGGATATTCCTCCTGCCATGAGATGGCATTTGGACCAACATTTCTCCACCTGACACCCACATATAACAGAATGCTGTGCTGCATCACAGTGTGGGACATCTGCTGCTGAACACAAGCAGACTGTGCAGCACATGGTTTTGTCTGAGCTAAGCTCTTAAGGGAATTCAGGTGTGGAGGATGAGATCCTTCCTTTGGGCACAAAAGGGTCACAGGTCTTCCATCCAGACTTGTCAAATGAACACCTGTGGATCTGAGACTGGAGGAACACTTAACTCCATCATTTCTCCAATTGCTATTTCACACAGGATTGAATCCCTAGAGCAAGGACTGTATATTGCACAGCTTTGTAGACTGATGGAATTCTTACATCTGCATTTAACTACAAGAGCTGCATAAATAAAAATGTCAGGTGTGTAGCAAAACAACATAGAAGAGCACTTTCTCTCAATACATGTACATTTTTCAGAGAGACTGTCCCTGTCTAACTTTTCTGATTTCAAAGTGCTTATAAGAGTTAAAAGTTTCTACTCCCATCCTTTATTTTCCTAATGACCTAATTTCATTAACTCTACAGCATTGCTGGAGAAAGAAATCTCAGTGAGCATTAGGTCTTCTCAAAACACAGTAAGGCTTAAAGCTCAGGAAGTGATTTGTGTATCCTATTAATTTTCTTAATTGTAAACAAAGCCTCGGTGTCTTGTGCAGTAACCATGTTTCAAGCACCATGTGGCTCATTAAAGCCCTAACATTTGAACCCCTACGTTAAGGTGAGGAACAATTAATCTGAGCTGTGCTGCTTCTCCCAGGCTCTGTGCCCACTAGAAGGCACCATCTGCTAGAGAGTTGTAATCGTGAGGACAAGGGAAGAGCTTCATTAAATAATTCCATGTGAACACCTCCAGGAAAACTGCAGACTCAGGTGTAACGTTAGAGAGAGGCTGGACAGTGTCTCTGGCTGTGGTTTTCACAGCAAAACCATGGAATCAACATTATTTTCTCTTGGAAGGCAGTGTCAAATGCACTTACAGTATGAAGGACTGAATTCCATCAGCTTTCAAGTTTGGAGGAAGAACCACTAGTGACTTCAGCACTTCCTCAGGGTTTGGAAGTCAGATGGGTTATGTGCCTTACCAATTTCCATAGCATCTCTAGCAAACCAATTCCCTGTGCCTCAGCCATCCAAGAATGGGAAACAACTGTACTTTACTGGGAGTGCTGAGGGAGTGTCTGGAGGAGGACAGGTAACACAATTACAATTTGCACAAATGTTTCCTGCCAGCAATAGACTGGGAGAACTGTAAGATGAAGTCCAAGTAATTTCTCTGTCCCACAGCAGGCAGCAGTGCAGGCAGCAGTACTTGCCTGGATCTGAGAGACCTGGTTCAGCTTGGGGAAAGGAAGGTTTCAAAACTCACTCTGCAGTGTCATTGTTCAGTGTGTCTCTGGCCTGTAACCAGCTTCACTTAGTGCCAGATCAGATGGTATTAGCTGAAGAGCTGTGTGTGCAGTCTTATTTACCATACATCATCTTTAGGGCAGAGATTAAATGAAAAAATCCTCTTAAGGAGATCATAATTCTGGATCATTCATCAGTGGGCCTAAATGTTTCAAAGCATGTATTTATTAGGACACTGCTCCTCTGTACTGAGAAAGTAATGTTCCTGCTATAAAGACAGGAATAAAGACACCAGAAGAGATGAAACAGCAGTTTCAAATGCATTTGTGTTGCCCAGGGTAAAGCTCACAGGGCACACAGCTCCTGTGACCTTCAACTCTTTTCTGGGTTCTCAGGTCTTAGCTCCAGCATTCTAAACCAACACTGCTGTTAAAGACTGGCTGTGAAATCTATGGCTGAAGACTTGCATGGGATCACCCATAATTCCTGTCATAGAGAAAAACCTGGTTCTATTTGCTGTTCCTCATGCAGATCTTTCGTGAAAGAGCATCTACACTTCATAGTCACCTGGAGACAGTTTGGAAGCAATGGCTTCTCCCTCAGAAACAGCTGAAATGGAGCTCTGAGTCAGAGGGAAGGAGAAGAAGGGGTTGAAGAGGATGGTAGTAATGGAAATCTGGACTAGGTGGAGGTGAGAGCAGTAAAAATCAGTGAAGTGTTAAATATATGAGGGGAAACTATCCCTACCAAAAAACTATTAGATCTTTCCAATGACTGGAAAAATCCAGGTTCTTCTGGAAGCTGAAATCATCTCCCAGGAAGTTATTCCGACACAATGAACTTCAGGAAAGCAGAGCTACTACTGCTGCACAGAGCAGTGCAGGCAAATTCAGGAATGTCCATTTCTGCCACAGGAGGAACAAGGGCAGATAAGAATTCAGAGCTGTACAAACTATATATAATAGTTGTATAGACTACTGTATATACTAAATGATCCTCTGCTTTAATAGGCTTTCCTATGGTTCAGCCTATGTTCTAATTATCTACTAAAATCCAGATCTGACAGGGAATTAATTATGCTTAACCTTTCATTATACAGCACACCTGTAATTCTAGACTATTCTACAAGCAGCAGCTGTGCTGAAGTCTTTCTGTAACTCAGAACTCAGTACTATCTCACACTTAATGACACATTTATGCTAGATTGTGCTTTAATGTACATGACCTGATTTTTTGTTACCACATAACAGTTTATTAGAGTTTTCAGTGACATTACAAAGAGCCCAAGGTTGGTGTTACAAGGGATATCGATACATTTCTTAAGTTCACAAAATTCCCCTGTTATTATGAGCTTCTATTACGATTCCCCCTCAGTTTGGAAAAATGACCTGTCATATTGCCCTCACAGCACTCAGGTGCTAATTTGGTGGCACTCAAAGAGCAGTTTCAAGTGTGGTCCACAGGCAACTGCTAAATGCCACTGCTGCACACTGAAATCTGTGTCTGAAGCTGGAGGAGCCTTGCAGTGATTGTCAGGAATAGCTGACAAAGGTCATTTTTCTTCACAAGTGACACAGTACAGAATAAATACACTTCTCATTGCCAAAATACTCTAATGTAATCCATCAAACTCCAGGCCCATAAATGTGGATGTGATTAGAAAAGCAAAAACACTTTTCTAAACCAGGTATTTTGAAGAGGTGCAGCTAGTTGTTATTCCAAGAGAAGCAAAGCTTTAAAAAGCTAACTGGATTCTCTCCCTTTTTGTTCCTCAAGGTATCACTCCTTAGCAAACTGCTTTCTCCAGTGAGCCTGTGATTTAAACTTGAAGCCACATACAGACACTCTCACAATCCCATCCCTTTCTGTCCAGTATCACCACTTCAATCACAACTCCTGTTCCAAGGTGATGCCAAAGGACACATGGACAGTTTCAGAGTGTTAAAAAACTTAAATCCCATAGCAAGATTGTTCATAGTTAGTAGTTCCTTGTCTGCACAGATGTCACATGTTTGGGTGGTAGTGGCTGCTCAGCTGTGTACAGATGTCTCCTGTTAAATCTGTTTCTGGTTTCTGTTCCAGGAACACACAGCTCAGGTGATACCAGGAGTAGGAGAGATGATTTTGATGTCGTCTCATGTTTCCAAACTCACCTTATTACATGGATGAAAAAAAACAACACAATCCTCAACTAGTTGAGTGCCTGTTGCTTAGAGCTAAGACTAATGCTAAGTTTCAATCTTGTGCTTCACTCCACGAAGTTACATAGGACAAGGCAAGATTTCCATTTGCTGGGAGTCACTAAATGCTGAGCTATCAAACATGGAACGTCTAGAAAAGTACAGGAAAGAGGAAAAAAGTGACTTCACAAAAAAATACACCCAATAGTTGAGATCCGTAAGATCTGTGTTTTAATAACACATCCAATTGATCCTCATAACAAGAATTCCAAAAGTGAAATTACAGTACACAAATCAAAATATAAACTACCTTAGCCCTAACTATACAATGTACATTAGGAATGCAAGCTCTGGAACAATATAAAAATGCTTTTACACACAAGAGTTGCAAAAAGCCATTCTGTAATTCCAAGGATTTGTAGAAAAAAGAAAGAGTTGTCTTCCAGGATTCATCTTGAGTTATTGGCAACCTGTTGGGGAAAAGCAATAAGGGAATAATTATGGAGAATTAAGAGAATCATGTTCATCAGAAATGGGCATTTGTCGGGTTCAGGCAATGTGAGGGTAATGAAGTCCATAATACCTTGTCTTTTTGTCCAAGTATCACAAAAACTAGGAACTTTAACAAGCAAGAACATATCTGTTTCAAACTATTTGGGCTGCATGGAATGCTGGACATGACCTCAGAATTTCAAGCCTAAGAGAGCCTGAGACATGTCTTTCTTTGTCACTTCTTATAAGAAAGTTAATCTAACCCATTACATGTAGCATTTTATTTGCCAGTTGCCTTCTATGGATTAAAAGCTCAATCTCTACACAAACTGAAGTGAAATCTCAGTGCTCATACACTATAATTAAGCACCAACCCCCTCCTTGTTTATGATGTAACAGTTTGGGCACTTGCACTGCCCCATGTCCTGAAATTTAGCAATTGACCTTGCTGTGTGTGGTGCTGCCTCATCACCTGAATTTATCTACATGTTTTTGGACTAGACTTTGAGCTGCTGCTTGCCAAGAGGATGAAACATCTACTTCTCCAGTGTTTCTGTGTAATATAGAGACTAGGTGTCAATCAAGAAATTAATAGTAAGATACCACATTTACCTGCCTCTAAGCAGCAGTGCCCTAGGACACACCTTGCCTCATCCTGAGTGCTCTCTTACACTGCCAGGACCTGCTGATTGCTTGTGTGAGTCACTACTCCCTGCAAGCTCCTAACTTACACACAGCAGGAACTGACAGCTGATGGACAGTAACTCCTCTCCAGCCTCTGTGCACAGCAGCAAGGCCACAGTATTCAGCAGCTTGGTGGCAGCTGACGTGTGCAGGATGCAGCAGAAGATGAAGAGAAGCAGCACACTCACACCAGTTTTCCAGCTATGGAATTGCAGCTGGTGTTAGTAAAGTACATGAGATTATGGTCCTGTTCAGAACACTCAAATATGGTAAGAGAAAGAAGAGAACAGCTTGGTTCGTTGCTGACAATTTTTCATCTCTCTTCTCCTGCTGCAAAGACAGTTGTTATTGCAGATCTCACTCAGAGTACCAGGGGATGAACACAAATACTGCACTGCCTCAAAACTAGACAAGATGAAAATTACTCTCCTCCCTGACTGATGAGGAAAACAGCCTTAGTGAAGCTAATAGGAACCTGCTGAGGAGAACTCCTTAAGGTTTCTTGTGTTATAATATGATACACAATTATATTCTAGAATCACAGAATCATTTAGGTTGGAAAAGACCTCCAGGATCAAGTCCAACCTGTGACCAATCACCACCTCATCAGCGAGATCAGAGCACTACGTGCCACATCCAGTTGTTCCTTGGACACCTCCAGGGATGGTGACTCCAACCCCTTCTTGGACACTCCCTTTCAAAGCCTAACAACCCTTTCCATGGAAAAATTCTTCCTTATATACAACCTGAACCTCCCCTGGCACAGCCTGAGGTGTTTCCTCTTGTCCTGTCCCTTGTTCCCTGGGAGCAGAGACTGATCCCCACCTGGCAACACCTCCTGGCAGAGAGTTGAGAACAATGAGGTCCCCCCTGAGCCTCCTTTTCTCCAGGCTGAGCCCCCCCAGCTCCCTCAGCTGCTCCCAGCTCCATTCCCATCTCTGGATATGCCAGAGAATTCTCTCTAGGATTCTGTTCTGCAGATTCCAGACCACCTCACAAACCCAAGGAAAAAGTTCCATCTACATTAAAACCAGTCATTTCAAGTGACCTGAGGGTTTGTTTCTAGGCCAAGAAGCAACTGGCTCACTTTAACTCTTGTTGGGAGCAGGAGTCTTGTTCTCGCCCTCCAGTTCCTCCACCCCTGCCTGTGTCATGAGGTCTGCGATGTTCTTCTCTAGGTCATCGATGCGACAGCTCATGTCATCAAGTTCCATGGAGTCAAGGAATATGGCAGCATTCCAGGCATGCCTGGGTTTCATGGAATGATTTGGGATGAAGAGACATTAAAGCACATCCAGTTCCACCCCCTGCCATGGGCAAGGACACCTTCCACTAACTCAGGTTGCTCCAAGCCCCATCCAACCTCACCTGAACACTTCTAGGGATGGAGCAGCCACAGCTTCTCTGGGCAACCTGTGCCAGTGCCTCAGCACCCTCACAGGGAAAAATTTCTTCCTAATATGTCATCTAACCCTGCACTCTGTCAGTGGGAAGACATTCCCCCTTGTCCTGGCACTCAAGGCCCTTGGAAATAGTCTCCATCTTTCCTCTAGGCACTGGAAGGTGCAACTATGTCACTCCAAAACCTTCTCTTCTCTGGGCTGAACAATCCCAACTCTCTCAGCCTTTTCTCACAGCAGAGCTGCTCCATCCCTCTAATCATCTTGGTGGTCTCCTCTCGACTCACTCCAACAGCTCCATGTCCTTCCTGTGCTGGGAACCCCAAAGCACTCCAGGTGGATCCTGGTGGGTTGGTTGAGGTTTGCTCAAACTCTTAAGGTCACTTTAAATTTATCTTAAAAATCCCACTGGCAAATATACATCATAATACTTATTGTATAGCATCTATTTGAGTTTAAAAAGGATATTTCTTCCGATTATCTGGTCAGACATGGTTTGAAACTTGTCCTGCATTTGCTGGAGCAATGTCTGCACCTAAAGGGAAAAAAGAAACGTTTTGTTTTCATTAGAGGCTGTTACAGTATCTAATCTCAGGTAATGAGGTAAGTACAATGTTGTCTCATTGCTGAGCACAAACCCTACAGGATAATTACATTTTAAGTGCCATTTTTACATATCTACTTGTACACAGTGGAGAACTGAGGCTCACAGTAAATATCAACCATGTTAACAGTTGGACCTGATGATCTTAAAGGTTTCTTCCAACCTTGCTGGCTCTGTCTGTAAGACCTAGAAAATGCCTGTATTTCACAACCAGGACTAAACCCACCACAGCAGGTCCAGAGTCCTGTTAATGACATGGAGGCATTTTTCCTGGTGTCACAGACTGTTCTGGGTTGGAAAGATCTTAAAGCTCATCTTGCCATAAGCAGGGACACCTTCCACTTGCCCAGGCTGCTCCAAGCCCCAGCCAACCTGTCAGCAAAGAGCCTTTCCCTGCTCTCTCCCAATCCCTGAGCCTTCACCACATCCCATCCAGGCACACACCACCATTTAGAACAACACCTGGGACAAAAATGCCAAGGCACAGCCCCAGCCCAACCACCCCACACACCAGGCAGATACCAGTCATAAATCTTACACCTCTGGGGCGCACACAGGTATGAGCAGGGCCCAGGGAGGCATCAACAGGACCCTAGAAAGTATCACCAGGGCCCAGGGAAGCATCACTAGGATCCCAGGCAGGTATCACTGGACCCCAGGCAGGTATCACTGGACCCAGAGAGGCACCGCCCGGGAGGCACCGCCGAATCCAGGGAGGCACCGCTGGAACCGTGGGAGGTATCGCCGAAAAGACACCTTCGGGCCCGAAAACGTATCACCGAACCCGGGGAGGCATCACCGAGCCCTGGGAGGCCCCTCCAGAGCGGCTCCCCCGCACACAGGGAGGCACCGCCGGGACCCCAAGAGGTATCACCGGGCCCCGATCGGCATCGACGGGCAGGTTCCCCCAGACCCGGGGAGGCACCGCCGGGCACTCCCCTCGCCCCACTCATCGCGGCCT